AGTCTCCAGAGCCTCAGCTGACAGCTTTTGGCTGCAGCAATTCAGACTCGGGGAAACGGTCTTGGAGAAATGACTTCTAAAATCTGCCTTTTCTACAGATCACAGCAGAACGAGTCTGCCTGCGCCAGCGGAAGAGCTGCCTGCATGGAGCTGCAGACGCAGTCGGATGTGGTGGAATTCATCATCAACCACACCGACGTCCTCTTCTGCTCCAAATCCAGAGCAGACATTGCAGATGCAGCAGGTGAGTGTCTTCCTCCATTAGCTTGATCTTGACCTGACACCTTGACCAAATGCAGGCCTTCTCCAGGACCTTTGAGATACTCTTTTACCATCAAGGGGACAGCAGACCTCTGGGCTCCCATTAGAATCTGGCATCCTCTTCCTGGATGCTGAGAATGTCTAAGCCCAAATTTCACAAGGAGGAAACTGTCATTATTATGTTTGCACGCAGGAAAAGCTTGATGCAAGTGTGGCAGCGAAGCTTTCTCTGTTCCCAGCCCCCATTTCCTTGGGTTTTTCCTTGCCTATTTTGATACAGTAAGCTGCTCTTAATGATGACCGTGTCCTTTGCCGTAAACAGACCTCTGCCCACATGGTTATTTTGGGCTCCTCTTCTTCCAGTGGCTGGGATAAGCAAGACTGAGAAAAATACAGCACCTCCCCCAGAACTGTGGTGGCTGTGCTGCTGCTTTCTGATCCTCGCTCTTACCTGTGGTTTTCCCTGACAGGGCACAATTCTCTCCCAGGGCCCAAGTCTGTGGGGGTCTCTTCTGCTGCCACAAAGCTGCTCAGCCTGGAGGAGGCACAGGCACAGAGGCGAGGCCACAGCAGCTCTCCCCCTGTGACAGAGAGCAGCCGGGACATTGAAGTGGAAGAAAGCCCTGCAGCTGGGCAGGGCAAATTCCACACCGTCATCGACTTTCCATCTGACAGGTAAAGAGGACTTTCTTTTCCACCTCCTAGCATCATTGTTTGGGTGGGTTTTTCTGTTTTTCGGCAGAAACCAGGCAGTGCTAGGAACAAGCAATTGCTGCCATGAGCTCAGTGCTGCTCTTCCCTCACCGTGCACCACGCACGACTCACAGCATTGGCTGTTTTCTCTCTCCAGGCAAAATCCACCCAGCAAAACTGAGGAATCACCAGCTAGCAGTTTGTGTTGCTGCTTCAGCCTCAGAAAGCCATCCTCTGGCAGCAAACGCCAACTG